GACTCAGACATGAGGCAAGCAAGAAACGCATGAAAACACAGAAAAATCATCCCACTATAAAAATATTAATTGTAAGATAATATTTAATTCAAACTGTCCAAGACTACTTATGTATGGACTTTAATGCATTCTCTTGCAATTTGAAATATTTGGAAGGTTAATGCCTTAGTTTACCATAGTTTTTTCTTTCTGTGTCATCGACCATGTCATCTTCCAGTTATTACGTTTTGCTTAACATTTCAGCAAATTACACTGCATTGTCTAGAGCTCAGCACCAGAGTGGAGTTGAAGACCTTTTTTCCCTCCGGAGTCTTCTGTCCCTTCGATAAACTTTTTGCCATTTTTTTCACCCTATTCGACGTACTGACCTCGTCCGGATTTGTAAAAAAGCTTGTGCAATTGCATAAGCACAATTTCCGTTTGGCACTATGAAAATATCTGCAGTGGAAGGGCAAATAGAACTATGAGATGAGAACTATGGCTTCGAAATATCCTTAATCCTTTTAAAGCATATCTTTAATTAAAAATAAACTTTACTTAGCATGGTAAGTATTGAATGTTAGTACTATAATTTTGTGATACATTATTTTAATTTCAAAACTAATCATAAAAGTAGCTTCACTTTATTTTACCTTTCCTTTTTCTCCTCTGGTCAAGTTAAAATTTGGTATCTGTCTCTAGCAAGGATACCTAATAGTATGCCACTCTTGTCTCAAAACCAGCGACAGGAAATTGAAAAAGTGTGGGGCGTGAACCTGGTACACAGGAAGCACCGAGAAAAAATAGATACCTGTACCTTAATTAAGTGCGTGTATTGTCTTAAGGGAAAGAGAATCCTGTTCCCACTTATACGCGCCAAATGCATGAACTGTCTTTTTAAAGTAAAGAGCTCGTGCTAAGTAGCCCAGTGGCATTTAGTATTCGCGACGGTTCGCCATCCACCAGTGGGTCAGGTCAGATGGTCAGATGCCCAGGCATTGTTTCGTGTCCATTTCGGTGCGCTTGGCTGCCCAACTCGCCAACCCGCCAACCTTTAACCTACACCCCACCACCCACTAGCTCTTGGGGAGTTCAACAACATTGCGCCACACAGTTGAACCATTTTTTTCCGTCTTCCGTTTGCTTTGCGTTTCCAGCTGCTGCTCCTGGCCAAGTTCACATTGTAATCCATCCGGGGAATAATTATTGTGTACATATTAATATAGTAGCTGTGCAGACCAGGGGAGTTTATCGTTTAGCCCCGATGGACGGTATTACGATGCCCTCCAAAGTAAATGGAAAATGAATGGTCTATAAATTCTTTTCCTGCTTTTTAAAGTTATGAAAAAGGTCTTAAAGGAGTGTACAAACGAGGGGTTTAATGGATTTCGGCTTGGCTTTCTTTCTTACTGATTTATGCAGTTGCGAGTGAACTAAAAAAATATATTAATAAAGAAGATGAGTAAATAGGATTCCCCTCACAACCTTTGGCATAGAGCATTCATTCTAGAACCTAGATGCATTTCTGTCGTAGATGTTTTGCCTTATAAACTGGCTTACCCACTCACATTAAGTCGGATTAACTCGACCGATTTAAGCTACTAAATTGGGTCCTTGTTGGGCATAATTTATGCATTAAAATTGTATGCAAAAGAAAAAGTTGACTTCTGGCCAGGATCATACCGTTCTGAAAATTAAATCTAATTATGTGCGGCCAGCATACCTGCTGCGGTGGGGGCTCTGGACAAAGGATGCCTTTCTCTTAACTAAACTGACCCGCACAAATGCGTCTATTGACTGAAACAATGCAGACACAAGCGACGAAGGCACTGAGCCAGGATAAGGGACGCGGACGTTGCAACTGGAGACGGAGCAGGTGCAGCCAGGTGGTTCCTAATGGAAACGGCATCATTGAAGGCCAACAGCGGGAGTTGTGCCAAAGGAAAAGCAAATAGAGCAGGAAAACGGAGGGGATCAGATGCACTCTTATAAAAAATGTATACTAGCAATTAATAAGGCTTATAAAGGATTGGTCCTGAATGCAGTCCTGTCAATAAAATCCCCTCGAAACGGCAGATCCATATAGCAATAATAGCCGTTTTCAAAATAGTTTTTTTCTCAGTGCTATACATAGCGTATAATAGAAATGCCAGTCCTAAGCTTGGCTTGCGCCTGAATTGAGCTTATGAATGGATGCCAAAGGGGGCTTATAAAGAAGCATGGTAAGCGGAAGAGCGGTCAACTTATGGCTTAGACGCATGGCAAAAATCCATATTTATACATATATATGAATGGGAAAGGGCTGAAGCAGCGGCCAGGGTCCCCTGAGCTGAGGGGAGCCGGTCAAATCGGGTTTGGGGCTGCACAGAGGGAACTGGGACTCAGTTACTTATGCTTCAATGGCCCTGTGAAACTCGGTTTACGAGTATGTGCCGCAATTGCGGTAAAATATGTTTGCACAAAAGGAAATCGCCAAAGCCACGTGTGCAGGAAATGCTGAATTTGTCTGCTTGGCGCCCTGAAACAAAGCCAGACTCGTATTGGGGCAGTTCCGGGAAACACATTCGATTGGATACAACACAGAACAAAAATCCCTGGAAAATCAAAATGTGTTAAACAAGACTGGTCTAATAAATTAAATGGATTTAAGATAGTATATCAGCTCTATACACTTTGGATTTAAAAACGCTAAACCGAAGATGGTGAAATTATATCGCAGAACCGTCAGTTAAATCGTTCTAAATTTTCTTTTTGGATTTTATTGCAATATTGCTGCCGGTGTGCCGAAAAACTGTGCGCCACCAGGCTAGATGGCAAGCAAACTACGGCGGCACTTCCGCTGCCACTGCCACAGGCACTCTGGTGGTGTCTCTCGCCTCGCCTTCCTGCTCATCGGCGTCTGGACTGGACTTTTGGGAATATTATTGAAAACTTTTACCGCAAGCTGTGCCGAAGTGCAGGCGTGGGGGCACTCTGCAAAAACAACGAACGTATTGTTTTTTTCCCACCCCATTCAAAAAGGATACGAAAAAAGTCTGGGAAAAATCCGGGAATAATAAAAGGGAACGGCAAAAGCGGGGATTAAAAATTTTTGCGAGTCCAAAGTTTCAGTTTTGTTGCAACTTTGGCCACCGGCACCACAGCAGCCACACCTACTGCCTCCTCCGCTTGTTCTCATTGCCATTCTTCCTCCTAAAATTCGAAAATCATCTCTACATATGGACATATTCCCTTTCTTTTTGGAGAGACGATTTTAACATACTTCGGGTATATTGTCATATCTGCAGTTAAAGGTTATAGTCAGTTGAACAGTTTGATTTTTGAATAATATGGCGAAAGATTGCTAACTCAATTGCAATAATTTAATGAAATGTCAACCTGTGACAACTGCGTCAAACATTTAAAATCATGCCATTTCCCGGCCAAGGTCAATCGGCAAACGCAAATATATTTAAGCTAATTGCATTTCTTTCATCCTCAGAGAGAATGAAATGATGATGACCAGAGGGTGACGGTGGCACTGGATTGCAAATCTAATATGCGATGGCCAATGACAGCGCAAAGCCCGTACAACGATGTGTTTGAGATGAAATTTGCACAACCTTGACATTTTCAGCCGCAAAATCAAATTGACCCAACACGCCCCACTAGAGAGAGGAAAAGTAAAACGTACCTGAATGGGTGAGTAGTTTCAGACATGCAATGTGATGTTTCTGAAAGCGGAACAATCACCAATCCATCAATTATACAGAATCATAATCAACGTTTGCTCCCCAATCTGAAAGCGACTGAGGCCACTAGAAAAAATATTATTATGGGATACTCTTATTTTGTTCTTATATCTATACCACTGATAAATAATGAGTATATATAAAACGGCAGATACAACGAAAGCTTAAAGAAGCATATTTTGAAAAGAGCCTAAAAGTTTTTGGAGTGTACATCGAAAGTGCCATTAGAGGAAAAGTTTTGTGGTCGAGAGTATGTGCCAAGTAGTTGCCAATCAATTTTTGGCATCGCCGCCTACTTATGGGACATATGTCTGTGGCGTAAAAGAGTGGGGAAATTGAGGCGGGGGAGAGAAAGTAGACTTTTGCCATTAGCAGCCACTATGGGCCGAAGCCATCAGCGTCGAACAAGCCTGACCAGGAGTTCCAGCAGCAGCAGCAGCAGCAGCAGTGGCAGAATCGTCAATGGCATTGTGGCCAAGAGGCACGTCGATTTCAATTGAATGTGGTGCAGCCAACTACCGCCGCCCCTGTCTCGTGTCCGGTGTCCCTTGTCCAATGCCCGTTGTCCGCTGCCTGTTGTCCGTGTTCCCACATCCACATCCCACATCGTTCATTATGACATGCTGCCAGCGCTAGCAAACCAAACACAATCACAATTGCAGGAGGATGCGGACCGAGGAGCGCCTCACTTGCAGTTGACACTTTTGTAGCGGCCTGCATCCTGGCATCCCAGTATCCTTCTGTTTGCCACTCGTCCAGTTTGCTAGTTCTTGACGTCGACCCGTCTCTAGGCCTCGGGCTGACCGTTGACTGTCAGTTGGCCTATGGCATCGAAGGATGCCCGCCTCCGGTACAAGTCCCTGTGATTCACTAGCAACATCAATTCCGTTGACGTGTACACTTACCTCTTTACATTCCCCGAACCATCTAACTGCATGTATCCATCTCCCAGTTTATATCTGCATCTGGTGGCCATCATCAAATACGCATGGCACAATGAGCTAACTCAATAAATAAGCTCATGAGGCCACCGAAGGTAGAGCTTGTTTAATTAATAGTTGGTATTAGACTTGTTGAAGCATTTAGTTAGCTGGGTTTCATTCAATCTGCTCACGTAATCTAGTGGCAAAAACAATCAAATATATGGGCTACTTACAACATTAAATTGTCAAAGGATAAGCCATACTATCAATCATATTAATTTTGATAAATTTTATGTTGTTTTTATAATCAATAAAGGTAAGACTTCATTGCTTAGATCTTACATTTTTGTAATCAAAGCAACCTATAGCTACCTCTCATCGTAGTGGCAGTCATTCTTGCTCATTTTAGTCCAACAAATTGTATCACATTGCTTACAAAATTCACAACGAACTATTAGTTGTATATTAACCACGAAACAGCAATGTTGCGTGGAACGCATAGATACATATTCCTGGCGAGGTCCATGATGCGTAGCTTCCACGTGTCAGGATGTCCGCGATACGGCAAAGTGGCCATGTCAAAGTTTGACCCTGACGCTTTCCTGCCGTTTGAGAAAATGATGAAGAACCTTGGAGTCGTTAAAGAACGCCTCAAGCGACCACTAACGCTGTCGGAAAAGATACTGTATGCGCACCTGGATGATCCAGCCAAACAGGAGATAGAAAGGGGAAAATCGTATTTGCGACTCCGTCCCGATCGTGTGGCCCTACAGGACGCCACTGCCCAGATGACTTTGATGCAGTTTATTTCCTCCGGTTTAAAGAGAGTGGCCGTTCCCTCGACTGCGCACTGCGACCATTTGATCGAAGCCCAAATATCGGGAGTCAAGGATTTGGAAAGAGCCAAGGATATTAATAAGGAAGTGTTTGACTTTCTGGCAACCGCTTGTGCCAAGTATGGGCTTGGTTTCTGGAAGCCCGGCAGCGGAATCATCCATCAGATTGTTCTCGAGAACTACGCTTTTCCGGGTCTTCTGTTAATCGGCACCGATTCCCATACACCCAATGGTGGCGGCTTAGGATGTCTGTGCATCGGAGTGGGAGGTGCTGATGCCGTGGATGTGATGGCCAACATTCCTTGGGAGCTCAAGTGTCCTACCGTGATCGGTGTGAATCTGACTGGTAAAATAAGCGGGTGGACGTCACCAAAGGATGTGATTCTCAAGATGGCCGAGATTCTCACTGTAAAGGGTGGAACGGGAGCTATTGTAGAGTACTACGGCCCTGGTGTCGAGTCCATTTCCTGCACCGGCATGGCCACTATTACCAACATGGGCGCCGAGATTGGAGCCACTACCTCTTTGTTTCCATTCAATGATAGAATGATCTCGTATTTGTGTGCCACCGGTCGCGGTGATATCGCCAATTTGGCCTCAAAATTCAAGGACGATCTTTTGACGGCGGACAAGGGTTGCAAGTATGACAGGGATATAGAAATCGATCTGAACAAATTGGAACCCCTCGTAAATGGGCCGTTTACTCCTGATTTGGCTCATCCTATCAGCAAGCTTGGTGAGAACTCCAAAAAGAATGGCTATCCCATGGATATTAAAGTGGGGTTAATTGGCTCCTGCACGAACTCCTCATACGAGGATATGGGTCGGTGTGCCAGCATTGCCAACGATGCCATAGCTCATGGCCTGAAAGCGTGCATACCCTTTAACGTTACCCCAGGATCGGAGCAAGTCCGAGCCACGATTGCAAGAGACGGAATCATAGAGGTACTTTCAAATTTTGGAGGCACTGTGTTGGCCAATGCCTGTGGTCCGTGCATTGGCCAGTGGGACCGAAAGGATGTGAAAAAGGGTGAAAAGAATACAATTGTCACATCCTACAATCGTAATTTTACTGGACGGAATGATGCCAATCCCGCTACTCACTGTTTTGTGACCAGTCCGGAAATGGTGACAGCGCTGTCTATAGCCGGACGTCTGGACTTCAATCCATTAACAGACGAACTGATTGGAAAAGATGGAAAGAGCTTCAAACTTAAGGAGCCAAAGGGCGAGGAACTTCCCGAAAAAGGTTTCGATCCAGGAGAGGACACATATCAAGCGCCGCCGAAAAACGGCGATGACATTAAGGTAAATGTGGACCCGAAGTCAGATCGGCTCCAGATCTTGGAACCTTTCGAAAAATGGGATGGCAAGGACTATATCGACATACTGGTGTTGATAAAAATCAAGGGAAAGTGCACCACTGATCACATAAGTGCTGCCGGGCCGTGGCTTAAATATAGAGGTCACTTGGATAATATTTCGAATAACATGTTCATCGGAGCCACCAATGCCGAGAACAACGAAATGAACAAGGTCAAAAATCAGAAGACGGGAAGCTTTGATGCTGTCCCGGCGGTGGCTCGTGACTACAAGGCCAACAAGATCAAGTGGTGCGCTGTGGGAGAGGATAACTACGGGGAAGGCTCTTCCCGGGAACATGCTGCGCTTGAGCCTCGTCACTTGGGCGGAGTGGCCATCATTGTCAAATCATTCGCCCGAATCCACGAAACTAATCTGAAAAAACAAGGCTTGCTAGCCTTAACTTTTGCCAATCCAGGAGACTATGACAAAATTCAACCAACCAGCAAAATTTCATTGCTAAACCTTAAGGACTTGGCTCCTGGCAAGCCGGTAGAATGCGAGATCAAGAACAATGGTGGATCCGATAAAATCCAATTGAACCACACCCTCAATGACCAGCAAATCCAATGGTTCAAGGCTGGCAGTGCTCTGAATCTAATGAAGGAGCTGGCCGCCGGGAAGGGTGGCGGTGAAAAGAAGAAGTAACCGAAGATGGTCCTTTTTTTTTTTACTTATTTACATGGTTCCTGACCGAATTTCTATTAGCGAAATTTATAGTTTTTCTCACATTCGAAGTACTTTCTTTTGGATTCTACGACGAAGTTGCAAGATCTTGCCTGAACCACAAATATCCGTATCCGAGTCAAGAAGTGCAAGAGAAGCCACATGGATGAAGCTATTTGTTGGAGGTAGAAGTCCGTAAAAGATAGAAATTCATAGTTCTTATTTCTTTTTTCACATTCTTTGAAAAAAAAAATACTATACATGATAAAATAAACTGCCAGATATTTAATTCTAAATTGTTCTACAATTTCCCGTTTTGTAACTACTTTTACTGACATGAGTCTGTTGCAAGATAAATTCGTCCTTTAAATAATTACGCCAAAAATAAGTAGAGTTTACATAAACCACTATTATACTTGGCATAATAGGCAAAACTTTAATGCCAAAATGGCAAATGAAATGCCGAAAACTAAAACCGAAATAATTCAAAACTAATTAAAATCCGTTTAAAATTGCACACAGTCCGCAATGCAGAAAAATAATAATAAATTTTCCGACTTAAGCTGCAAACTTTTTTGCCAAAACGCCCGGATAATAGTGAGTGAGGGAGGGGGAGGTATGGCAAAGTGGTGCAGGACGGGGGGGCAGGAAGCGGAGAGACAATAAGCGGCGTTATCATCGGTGCCAACCGAAACTGTCACAGGCATTGTCATTGTCTCAGGGGCAGGGTTTTCAAGGGGAGCTCTGGAGCAGAGGCCGTGCCATATTTGCATTTTCCTTCTCACTCTCGTCTATCTCTCTATCTCCGTCTCTACCACTCTCTCTGTGCAGCACTCAGCCCAATTGCGTGTGTGTGCGTGTATGGGCGTATGTGAGTTGGCATACAAAATTATTTGCTACTTTTAATTAGTGCCAAAAAGTCATTCACAAAATCCAAAGGGAGCCAGGGAAAGAGACATAAGGAAAGAATTGAAAACTGAACGATATAGTGAAGCGATGGAGTGCCAGAGCTACTGTGGGGGCAGTACAAGTGGCAAATGCCTATATGCATTATAGCAGCAGCTGTCTCTGTCTCTGTGAACTGCGCCTGGAGTTTCGGGCAATATTGGCATAGTCTCTGACTGACTGCTGAGCGGGGTCATGACTTCGGGCATACAGTGCGTTTCGGCATTGTAAAAAAATTTTTAGGTAAAAAAATATACCTTATCCAATATTACGGTCTTTAAACTTAACTGATTTAAAAACATTTAAATCAGTTATATCGATATAAATCTATAGTAAGTTTCAAAGAATGCCTATTATAAAATTCAAGAAGCCACAGTCCCAATCAACGAGTACAACAAAAAACGATAGCAGTGCATATCTGCCTGAAACCCAAAATGTTCAATTATTAACTCGTAATGTTAGGATGCATGGGACACTGGAGAAGATAATACTGGCATAGAGAAATGTGATGGGGAACTTTTAGAAAATGGTCCACTCGGTAAGAAGTCACCTGATGGCTGCTAGCCCCAAATTATAGACTATGATTTTTGTCAAATTGCATTCAATTTTGTCGAAGCTCCAACAGGCAGGCCGGAGTCAAGCCGCCTTTGTATACTGGCTCTGCCACTATCATTTGTATCTCTGTATCTGCCGGATCTTACCTCTTCCATCCCTCCCCTCTCTATATGCTTGTATTTGTGCGTGTGTGTGTGAGTGGATGGCAAATGTCACACATGCATTTCAATTTGAATTTACAATATTTCTAGCTTCAAATGCAGGCATGTGGTTCCGTGTGTATGTTCTAGTAGTATGCCGAAAACTTCATATATTTCTTGGCCCTCTTCTCTTTTTCTGTCTCCCTCTGTTTGTCATTTGCATACTTTGCACTTAAGTGAATTTAATCTTTTCTCCGTGCTTCTCTTTTCGATATTTTTGCAGCCATTGTGTGGGTCTGTGTGTGCGGTAGATATATCTGAGTCTGTGGTGCCCTGAGCGAGCAGAAAAATGTGTTTATCTTTTGTATGGATTTTTAATGTCATCTATTGTATCGTAGCTCCCGCCCTTTCCTTTCCACCCACCTACAGTCTGCTTTTCTTCTTCGTTCCTCTCTTCTCGTTATTCCGCTTCCTTGCTTAGTTTATTTTTACTAAAATTTTAATTGCTTTTTGGAAATGTTTTGTCAATGCGTAGACACATCCAAAACGAGTTCATTGATATACAGCGTTGAAAACGGAAACATTCAAGCTATTTTTATGATACATAGCACATACATACATAGCCATCTTCACGTACTCTTATTTTCCCATTTTCCTTTTGCTTGGGTGGGTAATAATAGATTTTTCAATTGAACTGGAATTTTTTGCGATGTTCACATTGAAAATTGCAAGTTTGTCAGTTACGTTAGTAAAACCTAAGAATGATGGGAAAAATGTAAATGGAAAGATAGAATGATTAAACCTTAGAAATTCTTAGAGCCGTTTGGGAAAGTTGCCAATTACATATTCATAAAAATATTTTCTTTGATTGATTGCTTTTCAAATTCTATTGCATTGTATTCATTGAAAGAATATTTTTTAAAAGAGTAATTTACTAAGCATAAATTCTAATGCACATTTGTAATCCAAAGAATCTAATATTAAGGAATTTTCTCTATTTAATAATAAAGGAATTTTCCATACAATTCCCAAACCACAAAATTATAAGATTCCCTGTCCCTTTGCAGATAAGGTCTCTATTTGCAAGCTGCAATAAGAAAATTACACGCTTGACTCGAAACGATAAACGTAAATCATAGAAAAATGACAACTGCCAATAACCTCACACGACCATCCCAAATAAAATCAAGCCACAAAAAATAAAGAAAATTTGAAAGAAGAAACACAAACAAGCAAAAATCAAACGAAAACAAAATGAAGCGAAACGAAACTCGCTCTCAACCATAAATTGCATTTTGGCCGCTGGCGAGGTAAACAGCCACAAATGCCACACAAAAATAGAAGGAATCCCGAGCAATAGAGCGGGCAGGAAAATAAAGCAAAACTTGACAATAATCGAAAAATTATTTCCACACATTGTGTGCTGTGTGTGGGGTGTGTGGTGTGGGCATCGAGTTCAGGAGGGGCGTGTCAAATCAAAGAAACAAATAAAATGAGGAAAAACAAGCGGAAAATCCGCAGTGCACACAGATCGAGAGCAAAAGAGAAGAGCACGAATTAAGTTAAGCACTTTTATTTATTATTAAAAAAGTTTTCAGCTAAAATGGGAAAGAATTGGAGTGTGCTGGCGAGAGTAGGGGCGTGGCAGAGCCAAAATCAGCAAAATCTGCACATAATGCAAAGAAAATCCCGAATTTATCGTATCACTTAGATGGAGTGTCGTATATGTGTTGGTGTGTCAATGTGTGTGCCTTGGTTGGTGTTTCCCCCTTTCAAAGGGGTTAGAATCCGCATTATGAACATATCGAACCAACATACATATATATTTATAAAAATGTACGATTGCGGTCAAGATATAAGGGAAAACACTAAATATTAAATGCGAAAGTCCAAGAAAACAATATTCTAATTGAACAGACTAATACCTGTACAATCCTTTAGGTAAAAGATGTTTTTTTTTACCTGGTTATGTTCTTTTATGTGGACCTTGACTGTAAGCAATGTGTTTGTGCATTCATAATGTAACTGTTGATTATTGCGCCAACACGCACTCGACGTAAGTGAACCAGCAACAGCTTCAGTAGCATCAAATGTGGAAGCTCTGAAATCTCGCAACGTGGCGTATGCGCAATATTATTAGATATTGAAAGCAGCCATCGATGATGGCCAAAGCTTGTCCCATTCCCTCCTCAAGTCCCCTTGCCCAACGTACCCAAAAGCAATTGAAAGCAGCCACAGCAGCAGACATATGAATTTTTTCCTGGCCCTCGTTTTTGCAACGAGGAAACCTCCTATATACTCCCACATCCCCTTCATCCCGCTTATCCCTCGGTATAAATATCTCCATGAAACATGTGTGAACGGAGAATGGCAGAATGCGGGGGGTTATGCGATTTGGATTCGGATTTGTCTGTGGGCGTGTCTTTAGCGAAATGCTCTGTGGTCGAGGCTCCTGCAGATGAAGCTGAAGCTGTATTAAATCGATGGCAATGTGCTAAATTTGTGGCAGATTATTTATTAGTGTAATGGCTTTAAATTCTCCACCGCAGATGCTCAGTCTGAGGATGCTTTTTTTCTGAGATTTATGTTTATGCTCGGATATTGCTATTTAAACATAAGATATTTGCGGAATGTTAAAAAGATGATGCTGGGATTTTTATGTTTTTGAATCTAATGTGAAATATTGCCTTTGTGGAGAGGTTTAAGGACTTAAAGTTGGCAATTTCATCAAAATGGCTTTAATTTTTTAATTTAAATAATTTTAAACTTTAAAGTTGTCACAGGCAATATTGAAAACTTTGAGACACCCATAACCCTTTGCCATCAATGTCGAGAACTTATCTGTCACACTCCATCTGAAAAGTGGAATTGTGCGGAATTGCTTTAGTTCCCCTACCCATTTACCCCTAGCAGCTTCTAATCTTTCTAACCATTTGGCCATTTTCAATTCGTTTTACTCCGTTCGCTCGCTTTTTATCTGGCCACTTTCAAAATCAAATCTTACAAATTCACAACCGGCAAAAAAAATAGTAGAAAAAGAAGTGCAAAAAAACAGCACCAGAAACCGACAGTTGAGGAGCAGAAAAAACCAACACGAAAAAATCTAATAAAAGAATAGCTCAAAATCGGTGTGTAAAAATCAAATAAACGCTGCAACTGCAACGGAAACTTGCCCCCAGCTGAGTTTTCTCTCTGGTTGCGAAAAAGTTTGTTTTTCGCCTTGCGCCAAGTTTTGTGCGTTTTTAAATGGCCCGAGCTGCTGGCCCAAACAAAAACGAGGAGGAACAAACAGGACGAGGAGCAGGCCAAGGAAAAGCAGGAAAACCATTGGAAACACATGTCCAGCCAGAGCCAAAGCACGAGGACAAGAA